TAGGGTTTAGGGTTTTAGGGTTAGGGTTTGGTGTTAGGTTTCGGGGTTAGGGTTAGGGTTTAGGTTTAGGGTTTAGGGTTTAGGGTTAGGGTTTAGGGTTAGGGTTTAGGGTTTAGGGTTTAGGGGGGCCTTTTTTAGGGCCTGGGTACCAAAAACCTAGACCTGGGGCTTTTCGGCTCCAACCTCCTTTTCGGGATGTGCTACTCTGGATCCGAAGCAGCCAGAGTCATTGGCTTGGAGTTCAAGGGTGCTTCGAGTTCCGCCTCGGCCTTTGAAGGAGCCTTGTGCGGGATGCTGTCGTTTAGGTGAGTGGTTACAGGGCGTGTCCCGGACTTCGGCCGTTTGGGTCTGCACGGCTTAGGGGTTTAGGAGTGTTTTTAGGGGTTTCGGGTTTGGGTTTTAGGGTGTGGGGCTCCGGGGCTCAGAGAACAGAATCGTGCGCACTGGTGCGGACAAAGCTGGAAAGCGCGGTTTTGGTAGCGGAGAAAAGAAGAAGAAAGGAGCTAAGCGTAGTACATGTGGTCCCTGAGTATGGGCCCTTAAAAGGGTGCCCCTTCCATACCCCGTATAGACCCTATGCAAATTAAGGATATTGAGGGACGTGAAACTACCCTCAGAAACTAAAGCCCGAGAACCCGAAAACGCAACTAAGACGAACAGCCAAAAAAAGCGACCATTTGATTTCATGGTACTTGGAGGGGGAAAATGGAGTGGAACCTTGTAATAATCTAATCTACCAGATTATAAGGGGGTTGCTTCAAGCCTTCACCAAAGCAACAATGCTTGTCCTGCACCCTGAACTCAGGCAGTCCAGGTGTGGGAAACACCCTGCAGACCCTCTACCCACTTTCTGGATTCCCAGATTGGATTAGCTCCAATATAACAGTCTATGACTAGGCTAGGAAGGTGCCTCTTTGGGTTAAAAGGGGCCTTCGAAGGGATTGTGCAATTTGGACTGCTAGATGAAGCAGCACCCTCAGTCACACATCTCACCTCCATTGGCAGCGGAGCCTTTTCTTTCTTGATCTTTGTGAAACACGTCGCACGCCTTCGCATGCCGAAGCTAGGGGGACACGGATAGACTACGGTCTGAGGGCTTCTTCGAGGCTCCCAACCTCTCGGAAAAGCGCCCATCTTTGGGGTCGCGACTGGGGAGCCACAGGCGCTGGAAGCGTCAGGGTTTAGGGTTTGGAGGGTTTAGAGGGCTTAGAGCGTATGGGGTTTAGGGTTTAGGGTTTAGGGTTTAGGGTTCAGGCGTCAGCTCATGACCTGCCACGCCTCCCACATACCGCCGACGTCCATCGGGTCATCCGGCAAGCGCACCTCGCGGCATCTTGGTCTTAATTAGGGCTCATCGAAGTTGCGCCCGAAAACCCCGAATCCTAGCCCTAAACCCTAAACCCTAAACCCTAAACCCTAAACCCTAAACCCTAAACCCTAAACCCTAAACCCTAAACCCTAAACCCTAAACCCTAAACGCTAAACCCTAAACCCTAAACCTAAACCCTAAACCCTAAACCCTAAACCCTAAACCCTAAACCCTAAACCCTGACCCCTAACACTCCAGAGCTCGCGGACATGAATCTCAGCCTTCAAAAACAGCAACCTGAACCCGAAGTTCAGACATAATCGTCCCTGAACCTTCAACCCTCAACCCTAAACCATAAGCCCTAACCCTAAACCATAAACCCTGAACCCTAAAATCCCTAAGTTCATACAGACTCATGCGTCGTCCAGTTCTGGGTTTGAGGTTTAGGGTCGTTCAGCCAGACGCCCCAGGGAAGGAGTGGGAAAATTCCTTACCAAACCAGGCTTTAGGGTTTAGGGTTTAGGGCTAGGGTTTAGGGTTTAGAGTTTATAGGGTTTAGGGTTTAGGGTTGAGGGTTGAGGGTTTAGGGTTGGGGTTTAGGAGCTTAGTGTGGGTTTCGGGGATGACCGTCCACAGGCGACTTAAAGGTGGTGGATTCTCTGAGTGGACAGAGAGTGTGACGCTACCATCCCTGGGCATGTTGAGCTTGGGCTCTTTCTTGGGGTTAGGGTCAAGGGTTAAGGGTTAAGGGTTAGGGGTTAAGGGTTAAGGGTTAAGGGTTTAGGTTTAGGGTCCAGGGTTCAGGGTTCAGGGTTTAGGGTTAGGGTTAGGGACCCGCACGAGCTTTTTTCGCAGCCCGGACCGGGCCTTGGAATCTCGCGGCTTGGCCGGCTTCGCGCGCTCGCTGCGGAGCGCCTCTTTGGGTGAGGTCTTCAGGTGAGGATTTCGGGTTTAGGGTTTAGGGTTTAGGGCTAAAACTCAGAACCCAAAACCCTAAGGGTTTTAGGGTTTAGGTATTATAGGGTAGGGTGTAGGCTAGGGGTACACGGTTTGGTGAAGGCTCTGAGGGCTCCGACCACTTGGCTTTCTATAGGCACCAATAAGTCACAACCTGCAAGGTTTCGGGGCTATTTTGAGCCCAAAGGGAACTGGGCCCTAAACCCTAAACCCTAGGGCTCTCTTGAGTCCAACAAGAACAGAATCCCGGCCTCCCAGATGCAGAAAGGAAATCGTCTTCAGGGTTTTTTGGGAGCCACCCGGAACCCAAAGTCCTTGTAACGGCCTCTGAAAGTGTCTAGAAGCCACGCAGCCCTAAACCCTAAACCCTAAACCCTAAACCCTAAACCCTAAACCCTAAACCCTAAACCCTAAACCCTAAACCCTAAACCCTAAACCCTAAACCCTAACCCTAAACCCTAAACCCTAAACCCTAAACCTCAAAGCCAATAGGGGCCCCTGAAGCTATCCTGGCCTGCTGCGAGGCTGGACGGGGTGCCTCACGCGGAGAGTTGTTTCAGGTCTGTAGGGATTTAGGGGTTTAGGGTTTAGGGTTCAGGGTTTCGGGTTTAGGGTTTAGGGATTAGGGTTAAACCCTAAACCCTAAACCCTCAACCCTAAACCCTAAACCCTAAACCCCAAACCCCAAACCCTAACGCCAAAGAAAGAAAGCTATTCGGACCAAACCGGGTTTCGATGGTTGAGTTCCGTTGCGCAATCTCGAGTCAGACCCGAAAGCAAGGCTGCCCAGTAAGTGTTCAGGGTTTCTGTGTTTCGGGATTCAGCGTTTAAGTACTTGGGATCTTCTGGTTTTGGGGGTTTAAGGTGTAAGGTTGTAGGCTGGGTTTTTTTTGGGGGGGGGGGGTTTAGGGTGGCAGGTCTGCTGGATTCTGCCCGAAACCCTAAACCCTAGACCCTAGACCCTAGACCCTAAACCCGAAACCCGAAACCCTAAACCCTAAACCGTTGCAGAAGCCGGCCTCCAAGCGGCTGCGAACTTCGGCAACAGAGGCCCGCCTGTTGGCAGTGCCAAGATCGATGAGGGGGTCCTTCTTACCTGATTGCCTGGCATGGGGTTTAGGGTTTAGGGTTTAGGGTTTGGGGTTGAGGGTTGAGGGTTGAGGGTTTAGGGTTCAGGGTTCAGGGTTTATGGTGCCCCAAACCCTAAACCCAAAACCGTAAACCCCAAACCCTAAACCCTAAGCCCTAAGCCCTCAACCCCAACACAACTTCCTAACCCCAGATAAAAGACAGGGAGCCAGTCTGCCTCTTCGCGTTCCCATTTTGAGTGCAAGCCCTTTGGGCAAGAGTTGGCTGGTCTCATATGTGCGAGCGATTCTCGTAGCCGTAACCCTAAACCCCAGTAGTTGTGTCACTTCGGGTGTATCGAGGGTTCGGAGCCCTTATGGTTGAGTATTCCCTGATTGCTCACAATGGTCAAAGGTTTGCAGTCCGTGGGCTCCGACATGGAATGTCCCGCCTTCGCGCCACGTCCTCCCAGATTTGCGCCTGCATCGCAAGCTCATACGGGAGGGGTTCATGGGACGAACCTTGAATGGTGAACGGCTCCTAGAGCCAGGGTAAACATTCGCCTTCTGTGGTCCCTTATCATTCCTAAACCAAGAGCTAGTTTCAACACGTATGTCCAAAACATTCAGGGGCCTAGTTCAAGCGAAAGGGTATTGACGGCACTGAGCGTGAGGGTTATCCCTTTTCGGCTCGGTCAGAAGCCCCAGTTCGGCCATCGGAAATCCGTCGGACCATCGTCGAGGGCGAGATGATCCCCTGAAACGTGCTCTTTGCAGAAGTCCGGAAACAAGACCCGAACCTACAAGCCAGCTCCCAAACAATTTCGGGGGCTCAGGCGGCTTCACATTCAGGAGCTTTGGGGGGTAAGGAATTCTGTTTGCGTTTCCCACCTTGCCCCTCAAGCGCCAACCCCTTCGCGTTTCTTGGTAGTCGGCCTGCACAAGCCCCGTTTAGGGTTTAGGGTTCAGGGTTTAGGGTTTCATGCACCCATGACCCCAACAGCTGAGCTGAGGGCCAAATGAAATGTGTGGAGTTCGTCGGGCGTGTGGGCCAACCGAGCCATCCCTGCCAATCGGAAGGGAGGCAAGCTACGGTCAGGGGCTTCGGAAACCATCGTCCGCGCGTTTGGGCTCTCAGTTTAATGCTGAGAAAAAACGGTTTAAAGTTTAGGCTTTAGGGTTTCGGGCCCACTGCAAGCCCCTAGATGTCAAGCCTAATGACGGACGCACCGTTCTTGGGGTTCAGGGCTGAAGGTTGTGGTGCAAAATCACAAGAACCTGGAGCCCTGAACCCTTCAACCCCAAAAACGAAGCTCTAGACCGCCAACCCCCTGAAGGAGAACCCCCCACCCCTCTTGTGGACGCCTGCGCGCGCGCGCGCGCGCGCGCGCCTTTTGTCCGATCTGCGGGCGGCAGATTCCCGATGGACGCACCACAGCAGGCAAGTAAACCCTAACAAGCGTTTCCATGGCTTCTCTTATCCCTGAGTCGTCATAACTCCTTGGATGGTCTTCGTCCCTGAATCCTACAAGATTTCCCCCCTAAACCCTAAACCCTAAACCCTAAACCCTAAACCCTAAACCCTAAACCCTAAACCCTAAACCCTAAACCCTAAACCCTAAACCCTCGCATGCCACCACTGGGGTGTGGGGCTTGGGGGGTGTCTCTCAGAGCTTGGCATCTCCGCTGGGCGATCGAAAGCGGAACTCGGACTGGAATCCGGGGTATTCCTGGAAACAGATTTTGGGGGTTTAGGGTTTAGGGTTTAGGGTTTAGGGTTTAGGGTTTCGGGTTTGGGGTTTAGGGTTTGGTGTTTGGGGTTTAGGGTTTAGGGTTTACGGATTAGGGTTTAGGGTTTAGGGTTGGAATCCTACTTTATACGGGAATCCTACTATTTGGGGGGTCGATAGGCGGGGTCCCTTTCTCATTTCGTGAACTCCCATTTCTGTGGCAGCTGGCTTTTCAGGCGCTTAGAGCCCCAGATCAAACGCTTCAATAGCCGTTTCCTCGCTTTGAAGAATAGCAGGTCAAGCATAACAGTTTGAAGGTCAGACAGACAAGATGAGCACGAGGCCCTAAACCCTAAACCCTAAACCCCAAACCCTAAACCCCAAACCACGAAGAACCTAAAGGGTGCGAATTGTGGCTTAATGATTTATGGGGCTCCGGAAGAAGGGTGCTACTGACCAGCCCTCGTAGTAGGCCCAAGAAGATTCTCCCATAAGCTGTGCTCCACACACCAAGCTTCAACCCTAAACCCAACCATTAATAACCCCCCCCCCCTCACTTTTCAAGGGTTTAAGCTTCTCGGATTTCAGGGTTTTAGGGTACCTTGAACCCTGAAAAAAGGTAAGGCCCTCCAAACCCGAAACCCTAAACCCCAAACCCCAAATCCTAAACCCCAAACCCTCAACCCTAAACCCTAAACCCTAAACCCTATAGGGCCCTGGAACCAATAACGTGATGCCCTGGGCTCGGCGGCCGGAGGAGGGCACCAGCCCCGGCCGCGGAAATGCTCGCGCCCGGAGGGGTAGTCCTTCAACCGGATGTGCAGTGCCCTTTCGGGTTTGGAGATTTGGGGGCCATAGAGGTTTAGGGTTTAGGGTTTAAGGTTTAGGGTTTAGGCGCTTTTGGGTTTGTTTCAAGGGCGTTTACGGCTTTTTTGGGGTTTAGGGCGTTCAGGGCGTCCAGGGTTCCGGGGTAAGGTTTTGGAGTTCAGGGTCTTAGGGTTTAGGGTTTAGGGCCTGTTTAGGGTTTAGGGTTAGGGATTTGAGTCCTTGTAGGCGCCGAAGTCGCGGTCGTGTGTGTAGCTGAGGCAGACTTCATCTGGGGCTGCCGCCTCGCGGGCGTACCTTACTTGCCCCAGGCAGGGTCTAGGGTCAGGGTTTAGGCAGTAAGGGGCCTTCCGGAAGCCGAATGCAAAGGCGTCCTGTAGACTCCCAGATTCAATACTCTGTGAAAGTTTTTTCCATAAAAACTTACGAGTCGTGTAGCAAGAGCCCTGAAACCCTATGCCCTCCACGAAAACGCCTGAAGTCTCGGGCTCTTGCTTCGCCGAGTACTTTGAGGAAGCTCTCTGACCCTCATCTCTTCTGCTGGTGTACAGAAGTACAAACAAGCCCTGAACAGTAAACCCTGAACCGTCAACGTGCTCAACAAAGGAAGCTTTGTCGGGGTCTTCAAGGCTTCAAGAGACTTGGAAGGTAAGGGGCCCAAACCCTGGACCCTTGGGTCAGCCCGAAACCCTAAACCCTAAAACCCGAAACCCTCAACCCTAAACCCTAAGCCCGAAACCCTAAACCATAAACCCTAAACCTCCACTCGCTTGAAGAAAGCTGCGGGGGAGTCCGGTAGTCGCGGCTTTGGCGGTACTCGGAGGAATGGTTCCAGAGGATCAGATTCAAACGCTCTCCTTGGTTTAGGGTTTAGGGTTTAGGCTGCTGATGGACAGGTTGTGGCCTAAACCATAAGCCCTAACCGCCTGTGGTCCTGCGGCAATCCCACAAGAAAGTATAGCTGTGAAGTGTCCCAAAGTCAGCAGTCGAAGCAATTGCATGATGCTACTCTGGGCTTGAGGGAAACCATCTTTTTCGTCACGACACTTTCAGGGAAGCTCCCCGTAGCATCTCCAACCCTAATCTCTGAACACTCACGAAGAAAGCTCTGATTCCTAGACCCAGCTTAGCGATTCGGCCAAGAGGATCCCATGTACTACCCTTTGAAGCGAAGCAAGCATATCATAGACCAGATCCCTGAACGCAGAATTTGAGGGTCTACCAGGCACCCCACCCTTGATGTGACAACCCTCTAGAGCCTGATATATACGGTACGTAGCCCCACAATTACCCTAGTCCCTTGCGCATGATCATTGTCGACTACCTCCTGGGCTGTACATAAACGAAATCTTCAAAGCGCAGTTCGCAAGGAGAATGTTTCCAGCTCAGCTTTAGGAAGGTAGATGCTAACGGCAGCACAAACGCCTCAGATCCTGAACGTCCAGCTCGATGCCCTCCTACCCTAAACCCTGCTAGGGCTGTGAGTTTCAGGTCTAGGCACCCTAAACATTAAACCCTAAACCCTAAACCCTCAACCCCTAAACCCCTAAACCCTAAACCCTAAAATAAGAATCAACCTCAACAACTCTTCTCTCTCGAGTCGCCGGACGTGATGTCATCAGCGCCATGGCGTTTTCGGCCGAGGTGCACGACCTTCTCTCACAAGTTCTCGGCAGGGGGAAGTATCAAAGGGACTAAAGGAGGGACCCTTATAAGGGACCTTAGGGGTTATTTAGGGATTTTTTTGAGGTAGATAGGGACTATATAGGGGTTCTGTATGGGTCATCTTGAAATGCGGTACCGTGGCGCCTCCCGAACATTGAGGCGCAATTAACCATCGGATCGATCCACCCCCTGAAGCACCAGGATTTAGGGTTTAGGGTTTAGGGTTCAGGGTTTAGGGTTTAGGGTTTAGGGTTTAGGGTTTAGGGTTTAGGGTTTAGGGTTTAGGGCTCTTCATTGCCTTGCCGTCTCCCTCTGCTCACGGCGTGGTTGTTCTGCTCTTGGGAACTCTCTGGCAAGTACACTCCTGTAGATGGGCAGGGAACCCGGAAGGAAGCTTAGTAGAGCTTTCGGAAGCACTGTGCGATGTTAGAGAACAATCGGTTATCTACCTCTTCATAAGCTCCTAGACCCCCTCTAGAGTTCTAGAGGGCCATCAGACGGTGCAACCCCAAAACCCCCCGTACCAAGCCCTCCCAGTGCAATCCAAAGTGCGCAGTGGCCCTTCCTGAGAAGTCGTTGATTGAATTCTGAGCTTTGAGCTTAGGGCTTAGGGCTTGGGGCTTAGGGCTTAGGCCTAAGGCTTAAGGCTTAAGGCTTAGGTCGCAGCAGACATGACTCTTTCTCAAGCAATAAAGCTCTCAGCCACGGGGCAAAAGCAACTACAACGATGGGGAGACAGGGAGGGGGCCCTATCGTCTCGGCGATAACAGATGCGCACCTTGGAGAGGACGCTGAAAAACAAGACTCCATAAGGTACTCTAAGCCCTGAGCATTTCGAGTGGGACGAGATAGCTGTATCTGTATAGACAACAAGATACCTGTATACGCAGCTGTCATCCATGATAATCTTTTATGGAAGAAGTACTCTCGTGACATTGAGCCAGAACACCAGGCCAGTCAAGTCCAGAAGAGGCAGAGAAAACACCCCTCCCCCCTGTGAAATTTTGGGCAGCTGGCGCAATTTCTGCGCCCCAAACATGAAGGACCCGAACCCTAAAACCCCAACTCCGCCCCTCTCCCCCTAAACCCCAAATCCCCCAACCCTAAAGCCCATAAACCTTAAACCAGCAACCCTAAACCCTAAACCCTAAACCCTAAACCCCAAAACCCATAAACCTTAAACCAGCAACCCTCACCTACAAATGTAGCCTGACTCCCTCAGTCCGAGCGGCCGGTGCTGGTAGGTCATGTGGTGCTTGCGGTGCTCTGGCGCGCCCACAGAACCGCAGAACCTCGTGCTACGTGGCCCGGGGGGAGGTGTAGAGTTGAGGTTTAGGGTTCCGGGTTGAGGGTCTAAGCTGCCCCTACACTTCGCCCTCCGACAAATAGCCCGAAACCCTGAACCCAGCGTGCGTTTGGGGGGTGATATGGGGGTATGTGCGGTTCAGGACCCAGGCCCATGCATCCAAGTCAACCTCAGTTGAATTCACAAAGTTGCGATGTTCCTCCTTATGCTAACAGCCTTTTGATCGGGATTGCAGTATCCCGAATTATAGTCCCTAAACCCTAAACCCTAAATCCCTAAACCCTAAACCCTAAACCCTAAACCCTAAACCCTAAGCCCTAGCCCTAAACCCTAAACCCTAAACCCTAAACCCCCGAAACCCTTGCACCCCAAAACCCCTCAAACCGTTCCACATCTGGTGGCGCCCCAGCGGCTGCAGCCCGGCGCCGGTAAAGTCCAGGCCCAGGCAGATGTTGAAGGTGACATCCTGAACGGTTCCAGGTTCATTGGTTTAGGGTTTAGGGTTTAGGGTTTAGGGTTTAGGATGGCTTAGAGGGTTTGTAGGGTTTAGAGGGTGCATAGGGTTTAGAGGGTTCAAAGGGTTTGGAGGGTCAATAGGGTTTAGATGCTTAGCTGCTTTATAGGGTTGTCTGTGGAGATGCCTTGCTGGAATGGGCCAACGGGCGACGACGTGCGTAGAGTATTTATCGAGTGTTTGGGGTTCACAGGGTTTAGGGCTCATGGGTTTGTAGGTTTTAGAGGGTTGATGGTTCTTATGGTTCATAGGGTTTAGAGTTTAGAGGGTTCAAAGGGTTCAAAGGGCTCTGAGAGCTTAGAAGGCTTAGAGGGCTCATGCAGTTTCGGCTTGGGGTTTGTAAGCCGTTGAGGAGATATGATGGTTCTGGAGAGCTTTACGGTGCATTTAGGAGTTTTGGGTTTAGGGTCTTTTTAGGAGTTTAAGTGATGTGAAGATCATATGGATTGTGTATAGTGTTCGGGTTTACATGGGGATTCAGGGCCCGAAGCAACCAAGCCCTGCAGGGCTCTAAGGGAGTTCTCTGGGCTCCAAGGGTTTGGAGGCATCCTCCTGGTGTTCAGCCGGCTTCATGTGGCCTGGTTGTGGCTGATTTTGGGTATGCAGTTTTTTAGGGCTCAGAGCGTCGGGTTGGCGCTTATTGCTGGTTGCCTGAAGCCCCGATGCTCCCTTTGCAGCCTACCACGCCCTGATGACTGATCTTTTCTTCAAAAAATTTGGGTTCTAGGATATTCCATTCGAACTGTACACAGATGCTTTGCAGGGTGTAGGGTTCGGAAGCACGTGCCTGAACCGAAATTTCCGATATTCTTTCAGGTCTCCGAGTCATCGGTGTGCATATCGAGGCCCAGATCCTCACCCTCGCGGTAGCCTCGGAAGCATGCTGCGTCTGAGGATGTTTGGGATTCAGGACATTTAAACCCCAAACCCAGGCAAATCCAGTGCTTGCAAGGCATGTGCACTCGCGAGGGTGGTGACTGTTGTCACGGCTATAACACAGGCGTCTTATAGTTAGAATAGAGTTTTTTCGTGGTTGTTAGTGCCTTTGTGGCCCGACTAGATCTTGAGCCGGGTCACAGGACCCGCAGATCGCCTCTGTATGAGGCGCCCGCTGTAGCGGAGGTATGTGTGTAGCGTTGTCTCTACGGTGTCACTGCGAGACATGGACAGTTTGGACGCCTCAGAGCCTGTGAGTGAGTGAGTGGTTGTTATGAGATAATTACAAAGGGGCCACAAGAAATACTATTAGAAATTATTCCGACCCCACATGTTGCTTCCGTCATGTTTCACTTGTACATTTTGGCGACCCGCGGGTTGAGCCCTTCAAAAAGGCTGCACCGCAAAACCCAACCCCCAACAAAAGCCCAAAACCCAAAACCCCAAACCCAAAAACCCAAAAACCCCAAAACCCAAAAACCCAAAAACCAAAAACCCAAAAACCCAAAAACCCAAAAACCCAAAAACCCAAAAACCCAAGAACCCAAAAACCCAAAAACCCAAAAACCCAAAAACCCAAAAACCCAAAAACCCAAAAACCCAAAAACCCAAAAACCCTAAAACCCTAAACCCTAAACCCCCAACCCTAAACCGCTGCAAGGTCAGCAGACATGGAGGGCTTCTTGCATCCAGCACAGCGTCTGCGTTGGCTACTCCGCAAGACACGTGGGGGTTTCCGAGAATAGGGGTACCCTTCTTGGGGGTCCCTTCAGGGGGTTCTTTTCTATTTGGGGCACACTGAACCCCTGTAAGCACTAATATCCCTGCCAGCGCCAAGCTTTCTAAACTCTGCCTGGGACTCTCTTTACTTACAGTTTTATGGGTTCTACCTACCAATTCAGGGGTAGTTACTACTAACTGTTGGGAAATAGACTCCCTAAAAACCCCAAAAACCCTAAAATCCCTAACGAATCCCAAAACACCAAAACCCTGAATAGAGTCGCAGGAAGTAGCCTGAGCCCAGAAATCTGAGCCCGAGCGGCGCACAATGAAGCAGTGGTGGCCGTCCCAGAGGCTACCCGGTGCTTGGAACAACTCCTGTCCTGTGGCTCGCTGGAGCTTCGCATAAAAGAAGACTTCCACCCTACCCCCCCCCCCCCCCCCAAAAAAAAAAAAAAAGAAAAAAAATATAACAAACAACTCTAAACGTAAAACTCGGAACGCTGCATGAACCCTAGACCCAACACTGGGAAATCCTACATCTCCGAAACTCTTGACCATAAACGCCCTTGACATTAAACGCCCTGAAAGCTGAACTTTCAACCCTTAAAAGTCCACAGCCTAAACCCTTAGACCCTGAGCCCTTAGAGGGTTTAGGGTTTAGGGTTTAGGGTTTAGGGTTTAGGGTTTAGGGTTTAGGGTTTAGGGTTTAGGGTTTAGGGTTTGAGGTGCTACGAGTACCTCCGTATCAAGGGATACAAGCTCGCACCCCGAAGATACTAGCTCGTGCCCCTTACTGGGGTTAGGGTGGGCGTCTTTAGGGGTTTGGTAGGGTGTAGCGTTTAGGGTTTAGGGATGCTATTCGCTAAGGGCTTTGGGGTTAGGGGGGCTGTTCTCTGCAGAGTCCCCCAACCCTAGGATCCAACCCCTTGAAGAAGCCCTAACTCTAAACTCCAACCCGGAAGCCCTCGTACAAGAACCCCAAACCTTAAGCCCTAAACCCAAGCCCCTTTGTTGGCCCGGAACCCTGAACCCCCCCAAATGAGGTTTGGGGCTTTGGGTGGTGTTTATCATAGGGCAACCGCATCACACAAAGAGGTACCCCCAAGAAGCGAAGACCTAAAATAGCTAAAGATATGCGGGGTTGCGAACCCCTTGCAAGATTCGAGGTGGGAGCTGGGTTTCACAAACCCACTTGTGTTTGCATAAACCCTAAACCCTAAACCCTACACCCTAAACCCAAAACCCAAAACCCAAAACCCTTAACCCTACACCCCAAACCCTAAACCCCAAACCCGAAACCCGAAACCCTAAACCCCAAACCCTAAACCCTAAACCCTAAACCCTAAACCCTAAACCCTAAACCCTCTCGGACCAAGCGGCCCAACGGCTGCAGGAGCTCCTGCAACTTGTCGATGAAGGGCTCGAGGCCGATATCACCCAGGATGATCCCATAGTTGTTCATGCTGTTCGGACGCCTTCGGGGGTTTAGGGTTTAGGGCTAGGGTTTAGGGTTTAGGGTTTAGGGTTTAGGGTTTAGGGTTTAGGGTTTAGGGTTTGGGTTTAGGGTTTGGGGATTCGGGTTTAGGGTTGAGGGTTGAGGGTTTCGGGCTTGGACTTAGGGTTTAGGGATTCGGGTTCAGGGTTTAGGGTTTATAGGGCTTCCCGGTGGGCTCAGGGTCATGGGGCCTTGGGGGCCTTAGGGGCTGCAGGGGTGTTTAGGAGTCGAGAGAATCAGGGGTCTTGGGGTTTAGGGTTTAGGGTTTAGGGTTTAGGGTTTAGGGTTTAGGATCCAAGATCCCACAAACCTCAGTCAGGCTCAGGGCTTTCAGGCGTAGCGACCAATTGAACCTTGAAGCCCGAAGATTTTCAGGGTTTAGGGTATAGGATTTAGGGTTTATGGTGCAGTGTTTAGGGTAAAGCCACACAGCCCTATGCAACCCCGTCCTCCCGGAAGTACTTTTTGCAGGACCTATTCATGTCAGTTCTCGGATTTGCATACTGAGATCACGACTCAAGGGGGGATAACCTTCGAAGTGATTGAGCCTCCTGATTCGGGTTTAGGGTTTAGGGTTTAGGGTTTAGGGTTTAGGGTTTAGGGTTTAGGGTTTAGGGTTTAGGGTTTAGGGTTTAGGGTTTAGGGTTTAGGGTTTAGGGTTTAGGGTTTAGGGTTTAGGGTTTAGGGTTTAGGGTTTAGGGTTTAGGGTTTAGGGTTTAGGGTTTAGGGCTCAGGGCTTAGGACTTCGGCCCACCTGGCAGGCAGCCCACTCTTGTAGAAGTTGAAGATCTCCTCGAGCAGGAGCCCGCAGAAGGCGTCCGTGAAGAGGGGAAACGAGTAGACCTCCGACGCTGCGGCGCGTGGCTCGCGCGCGTGTCATTGAAAAAGGAGCAAGGGATGGATGAATACCCTAAACCCTAAACCCTAAACCCTAAACCCTAAACCCTAAACCTTCAACCCTAAACCCTACGAGAACAAGTTTAGGGAAGTTTAGGGTTTAGGAGTCTGGGCTGAACATGCTGTAGCCCCCGAAACCTCACTCAAGCTGAGGCGATGAGTTAAATCCCACACCCCTGAACCCTACAAAGCTTAAGGGCCCTACACCCTGTGAACCCATCATCATGTAGGATACATCCACAGACTCAACCAATCCCCCCAGCCTCCCACCCCCAAAAAAAAAACCAACACCCCTAAACCCTAAACCCTAAACCCTAATCCCTAAACCCTAAACCCTAAACCCTAAACCCTAAACCCTAAAACCTAAACCCTAAACCCTAAACCCTAAACCCTAAACCCTAAACCCTAAACCCTAAACCTCCCAAAGTGGCCTCCCCAGTCGCGTGCTCCGTCAGCAGCGCGCGGCCCAGCTGGGCGTCACCAGTGTGCAAGGCCCTCAGCGCCGACCAGGTCTCCGGGACGAACCACTCCTCCTGGGGAGGTTTAGGGTTTAGGGTTTAGGGTTCAGGGGTTTAGGGTTTTTTATTAGGGGGAGGGCATTACACAGTGCCAGCCTGGAGAGGACGGTGCTCGTCGAAGAGCTGCGCATGCAAAGCCTGTGGTGGGCCAGCGGTGGGTGTAGAGGTGCTTAGAGTGGGTTTAGGGTTTAGGGTTTAGGGTTTAGGGTTTAGGGTTTAGGGTTTAGGGTTTAGGGTTTAGGGTTTAGGGTTTAGGGTTTGTTAAAGGGTGCTACCATCAGACGGCAACCCAGGTGTCTAGGCCTGCTTGCGGTACTTCTTGATGACGTCCAGGCGCTTGGCGTTGACCCGCGCGGCATCGCGCATCCAGGAGTGGAGACGCCGTGCCTTTGAACTCAGCAACCCACAATTGTGGGCGACGAATGGACGCAAAGAAAGGAAAAACGGAACCCTAAACCCTCAACCTCAAGCCCCTAAACCACTAAACCCTTGCACCCCATTATAACTGAGACCCTAAAACCCTACAACCCTAAAACCCTTAAACCCTACAACACTCAAACCCTTAAACCTTTCAACCCCTAAAAACGCGAAGCCCTGGAACCCTAAAACCCCAAAACCCTTAAACCCTTAAACCCCTAAAACCCTAAACCCCTGAGACCCTTTAGCCCTTAAACCCCTAAAGCCCTTCAACCCCTAAAAACCCAAGGTCCGCCTCCAGGGACGGCGAACCTTCTTCAGCGTCCTTGCGTGAGGCTCGGGTTAGCGGCCCGGTTTGAAGCTTAGGGTTTCGGGGTTTAGGGTTTTGGGGCTTTGGACTTAGGGCTTATGTAAGGTTTGGGGCTTAGGGTTCGGGGCTCAAGACTTGCCGTGATGAGGCGCAAGTCTTGATCAAGGGCCTTCTTGTGGATAGGGGGCGGGGAGCTTCAGATCCCAGGCAACGCCCTGTCAAACATGTTTTAAAAAGGAAGCCTCGTAAAACCCACAAGGGGTAAAATATCCTCTAGACTCTATAGACCCCTTTTCCTGCAACCGAAACCCTGGACACCGAGCCGAAATCTTAACTTGCTCAGAACTTCCATCAATGGCCGGGTCCTGTTCGGGCATGCCAAGGTAGTTCGCCGGCTCCAACAAGAAGCGGCGCAGATGCTCCAACAACTCCTCTTGGCTGCACTCAGGAGGGTAGCTATAAATTAAACATTTAGCTGCCTTACTCAGAAACCCAATAAACCCAAAAAAGGTAAGGATCTAAAGTTACGGTAAAGTACCACAAAGTCCTGGCGGGCATTTGGGGCATCGAGCTCGCAAACGTCTAAAGCACCCTAAGACCCAAAAAGCCCCTTAGAAAGCTAAATCCAAACACAATACCCTGGAGCCCTAGATGCACAAAAACTCTATAGAAACTTAACCCCGATGACTTCTAGGCTGGCCATCCAAAAGAAGCTTTGATACTAGGTATGCCCTCCAAGCCTACAAACAGCCATAGGGCCGCTGAAAAACTACCTCCCAAGGGGGTGGGCGAGGGGGGGGGGGGTGGTAATAGGTCACCTCCACGAAAACCCGAAATCTTCAGAATTTTGCCGCGATGGCAATTAGGGAGGACGGGTGCCTGTATTGTCATGAGAGGGCCCTAAACCTTAAAAAAAAAACCTTGAGCCTCAAAACCTCAGGCTACGGGCCCGTAGGCTTGCACCACCTCGAGGATGGCTGGCTTCTAGAGGGCTTTAAGCGTATGCTGGGGCCTAGGCATCAGGATTTTGCAGGTTTCGAGGCTTTTGGGCTTCCAGGTGATAGAGCTTTGTTTCTCTCAGGTCGGGCTTAAGGTCAAGGATGTCCTGCAAGGCCAAGGGACCCGATGACGCCTTCGAAGCCAGGAAAGTGTCCCAGAACACCTGCTCTTGGTTCGGGGTGTAGGGCATAGCTGCCAAGCCCTACTTCAGCCCCATCCAAGCATGTCTTCACAGCGGTTCACAGTGTCCACAGCATCGAAATGTGCCGCCACTCCCAGGCCCTTGCAAGAAGATGGATTTTTAGAAGCTGGCGGGAAGATGGCCTATACCCGACAATCTAATGTTTGCCTTGGCTTTAATCACTTCCCCCCAGCAAGTAGCAAAAAACAAATTCCCAGACAAAAACTCAGAAGGTCCCACAACAACAAGCCCAGAACAAAACAGATTACAGCCTCTTTAAAGCCGAAACCCGCTGCAAGTATAACTCCCTGCCGAAAGATTGATTGATTCAATCTTTCCAAGGGGTAGGGGGGTTTATTAAAGCGAAGTGAACACTAAACCCTTTGCGCGAGGAACTCGATGCTGCGAGCCTGCTGCGCTTTGACAGGATTAAACCCTGTCAACCCAAGCCCTGACGCCGCAACCCTGAACCTACCCCAAACCCAAGCCCTAAGCCCTAAGCCCTCAGCCCTCAGCCCTCAGCCCTCAGCCCTCAGCCCTCAGCCCTCAGCCCTCAGCCCTCAGCCCTCAGCCCTCAGCCCTCAGCCCTCAGCCCTAAGCCCTGAGCCCTACGCCCTCGGCCCCAAGCCCTAAGCCCTAAGCCCTAAGCCCTAAGCCCTAAGCCCTAAGCCCTAAGCCCTAAGCCCTAAGCCCTAATAAGCCCTAAGCCCTAAGCCCTAAGCCCTAAGCCCTAAGCCCTAAGCCCTAAGCCCTAAGCCCTAAGCCCTAAGCCCTAAGCCCTAAGCCCTAAGCCCTAAACCCTAACCCTAAACCCTAAACCCTAAACCCAAGCCCTAAGCCCACCCAGTTGCATCAACGGTAAATGAAATCCCTAGCCTGCCTTGGGCGGGCTCCGATTTCTTGCAACCAGGGCAAAGGCCAGTTGGCCTGCACTGCCGGCAGTAGGGTTCGAGGGTCAAATGAAGGGCCAACTCTGCAGAAGGGTTTAGGGTTTCGGGTTTAGGTTTAAGTGCGGGGGTGCTGGTTTGGCTAGGCAACAAGCAGCTACGCGCAGGCACTGAGCACTGATCTTTTTTCCCGGAAGACGAAGACGAGAGCGCAACAGGTCTACTCAAGTGACACTTCGACACTTCTGACACTTCTGACGCTTCTGACACTTCTGACACTTCTGACACTTCTGACACTTCTGACACGTCCGCTTTCAGCGCTCGGACCAGGACATCAACCCACTCGCTGTAAGCACACAACCATTTGTTGATGAGCTCGCTGACCTCGTGCAGTGCCAAGCCTAGCGCCTCACAAGAGCATGCTGACAGATACGGAGCCACCCAGCGTCCAGGAACCAACGAGCACGGGCCTCTGCAGCGATAGCCATAGCCTGACATCTGTATCGGCCAGGCGGTGGAAGCCATCCTGTGCGATGTAGTTGGGCATGTTGACTGGCAACAGCAGAATCGGCCCTGAACTCACGGTACCATCGACGCCATCCCGGCTGCAGCGTTGTAAACTCAACCGCACGAGAGTTCCTCAATCGCAGCAGAGTTGAGAGACCAAGCGTCGGTGCCTTTTCCGCGGAGAGGCGGAGGGGCTCACGAGAACTTTGAACAGTGCAGCGGTGCAGTGAGTGCTTGAGCTCATCGGAAAGGACATCCGCGGCCCACGGCAGCGAAGGCAGCGAAACCACCAGGGAACCTGATCGTTCAACAGCCAACGCTTGGATGCGCTCAACTTCCAGTGACATGGCCGCCATGGGCTGGGGCTCCCCAGCAACTAGGATTTCGCCAACTCCCCTTAGAAGCTGACCCCATACTAGGTACCCTAAACCCTAAACCCTAAACCCTAAACCCTAAACCCTAAACCCTAAACCCTAAACCCTAAACCCTAAACCCTGGTTTCAACTGGGCTTTTTCTTTGCCAAGCAGAAGGAACATTTTGAGAGACTCTAGGTGCCTGCCGGCTTCTAGGATGGCCCTGAAACCTCTCTGACAAACATTCCGAGGCATGATCCTCTGGAACCCCATTTGAGGGAAAATATGTGAAATATCCCGAACCCTAAACCCTAAACCCTAAACCCTAAACCGTAAACCCTAAACCCCGAACCCCAAACCCCAAACCCTAAACCCTAAACCCTAAACCCCCAAACCCTAAACCCCAAAAGGCCTGCTGATTAGGGTTTAGGGAAACCGTAAACCCTAAACCCCAAACCCCAAACCCTAAACCCTAAACCCTAAACCCTAAACCCCCAAACCCTAAACCCCAAAAGGCCTGTTTTTTAGGAAGTGTAACTCCGGGGCTTGGTGGTTCGGGTGTCGAGGCCTCAGCTGCGATGGAGGAGTGCCTGACACCCAACTTTCACCTATTTAGGGGGTTTGGGGTTTAGGGTTTAGGGTTTAGGGTTTGCTGTGATAGGGCGTAGATGCTGTGAAGGTTAGGTTTCGGACCAAGCTCGAAAGCTTCGTGAGGTGCGAAGAGCAGCTTTGGCCCGATTGCGGAGGGCCATCGAACACTTTTCTCCCACCCCACACCGTCCAAGGCGGCAAAGCCACCCAAACCTATTCCTTTTAGGGTTTAGGCCTAAACTCAGACAACCGTCCACTTCTAAAAAATATTCAGTTTCAATTCAGGGGTCGGGAGGCGGTTATATAGGGGGGCGGCCTAGGCCCAGAGTTTAGGGTTTAGGGTTTAGGGTAGATCGCTTGGACTGAAACAGGGTGGAGCGTCTAGGGATTAGGCTCACAAGCTCTGCAGACCCTGAAAAACCTCACACCCGGACACCCTTAAGCCTACTTGGGAGTAGACCCTTGAAAAATGTATTTGCCTTTCAGGCATAAGTAGCGAGAACAGGAACCCAGAACCAACAAACGCATTAAAGAAAAGTACTCCAAAACCCAGTTGAGCCCCCCAAAGGCGTCACTGCCTCCGATGTAGATCTCGGGCGGAGTGCTAGGCCAGCCGGCAGTGAAGCGCAACCGCAGCCGCCTGTCTCCAAAACTCCCCAAAGTCCCTAAAGCCCCTAAAGCCCCTAAAGCCCCTAAAGCCCCTAAAGTCCCTAAAGTCCCTAAAGTCCCTAAAGTCCCTAAAGTCCCTAAAGTCCCTAAAGTCCCTAAAGTCCCTAAAGTCCCTAAAGTCCCTAAAGTCCCTAAAGTCCCTAAAGTCCCTAAAGTCCCTAAAGTCCCTAAAGTCCCTAAAGTCCCTAAAGCCCCCAAAGCCCCTAAAGTCCCTAAAGTCCCTAAAGTCCCTGAACCCTAAACCAAACGATTCGAAGTGGGGAGCCTTCTGCTGGGGGGGGATGGAGTCTTAGCTCATAATGGGCCCTTCTTTTCGGGCGCCTTACGCGATCAGGACCATTAAGGGATTGTGGTCGTTGAGCAACACCCCCCCCCCCCCCGCCGCCAGGACCAGCCCCCCCCAACAAAAAGCACATAATAAAATATGCTACATAGATTAAAAAACATAAGTTCGGTGTTTCTCTTAGGGGGCCTGGCAGCGACTGTGGGGTTTAGGATTTGGGATTGAGGGGTTCGGGACTGTCTGCTTCAATACACCCTAGAAGCCCTAAGCCCCAAGCACTAGACTCCCTAAACCATCAACCTCGATAGTTAAACCCTACACACGCCAATCCCCTAAACCCTACATGCCAGACACCCTCAACCCCACACCGAAACTTCGCAAAGCCCCATACACCTGAACCCTGAATGCTAGACACCCTAAACCCTAAACCCTAAACCCTAAACCCTAAACCCTAAACCCTAAACCCTAAACCCTAAACCCTAAACCCTACAGTATTCAATCCCCAAGCCGTTCGCCCCGGAAACACGCACAAGCGGCAGGGGCGCATAGAAGGAAGGGTGGCTCGGTTCGCCTTCCAAGATCACCTGAACGGTTTAGGGTTTAGGGTTTAGGGTTTAGGGTTTAGGGTTTAGGGTTTAGGGTTTAGGGTTTAGGGTTTAGGGTTTAGGGTTTAGGGTTTAGGGTTTAGGGTTTAGGGTTTAGGGTTTAGGGTTGCAAGATCACCTGAATTTGGGGTTCGGGTTTTCTCTTCGGGTTGAGATAGGGACAATATAGGGTTTATGTAGTGTTTATGTCAGGTGTATAGGATGGCTTCAGGCTTAATGAAGGGCTTATGGGACTTCATAGGCTTTCTAGATTCTAGAGGTGTATATAGGGTTTAGGGTTTAGAAGCTTCACAGGGTTTATGGGCTGCAGAGGTACAGAGTCTATGTCGGGTGTAGGGAAGGGTTTGTACTTCCTTAACCCAGAACCCTAAATCTAATCCTGGTAAATACAATCCTAAACTTTAGAAACCCTACACCTGGACCCAACAAAGTCCTAAACCCTAAACCCTAAACCCGATGAACCCTAAACCTGAACCCTACAAATTCTAAACCGCAAACCCTGAACCCTGAACCCTGAACCCTGAACCCTGAACCCTGAACCCTGAACTCTGAACCCTAAACACTAAACCCTAAACCCTAAACCCTAGACCCTGAGCTCCGAACCCGAAACCCCGTCTAGAGCCATCTCGCGCCAGGCAGCGTGGACATCCCATGGTCCAGCTTCCTGGGCTGCTGATCGTTCGGCTTTTTGGGTTTAGGGTTTAGGGTTTAGGGTTTGGGTTTTTTGGGTTTTTTGGGTTTTAGGATTTTGGGGGGATTTAGGGGGGGTTTTAGGGCTTGGGGCAGGGGGCAGGCGTTGGGTTTAGGAGAGGTTTATAGAGAGAAGGTTCAGGGTTTATGAGTCCGGAAGCCTCCTTCAACAACCTCCCTGGACGTCCGCCCCAAACCCTGAAATAAACCCTCCTAAACCCTAAACCCTAAACCCTAAACCCTAAACCCTAAACCCTAAACCCTAAACCCTAAACCCTAAACCCTAAACCCTAAACCCTAAACCCTAAACCCTAAACCCTAAACCCTAAACCCTAAACCCCAACCTCCTGAGCCCCGCAAGAATCAAACCCTGAAACCTGCCCAGCTTCAGGATGGATCGCGAGCATCTCACCAGCCTCATCCACCAGATAGGGCGGGTGCACTGGTCTCCTTGGGTGTGTTGGGCTTGACTTCAAGGATTTCGAAGGGTTTATGGTTTAGGGTTTGGGGTTTGGGGTTCTAGGGTTTAGGGTACAGGGTTTCGGGTTTGGGGTTTTAGGTATTTAGAGGGTTTACGGGCGTCGGTTGGGCTGCAGGTGGCTTAGGGGTTTAGGATATCCCCATGTTGTCATGGTAGAGTCTTACTCCCCTACCCGCACAGTCCCCACAGCTTCGCGTGCTAAAACACAGGGCTTTGCCAGGGCTGGGAGTCTGTAGAGTGGTATTTAGGGCCTTGCCTGGGTTTTCGCGGTTGCAGGCTTAGGTTTGAGGATTCCTCAGCTAAGTCTGAGGCTGCTGAAGCTCAGGCGCGTGATGCTGACAAGATGAGGGGTGCCCCTCGCATCTTCCACAGCCTCGCGCGGGCAGGCAGGGAGGAACGAGGCACACTGCTGCCGGGAGGGAGCTTCGGCGCGAAGGATCTTCAGGCACACACCCCAAACTTTACACCCTCTACATCCTAAACCCTACACCCTCTAAACCCAGAACCCTACACCCTCTAAACCCTAAACCCTTTAAACCCCTGAACCCCCGAAACCCCCAAACCCTAAAACTTACCCCCCCCCCCGCCGGAAACCCTCAGAGAGCCTGCTGCAGGTGCTGCAGGGATTGCCCTGGCGGCCTCTCAGCCGCAATTCGCCGGGGGCGCCCAAGGAGGCCCCCTGTCACGGCGGAGAGCAAGGCCTCTGTGCACGCGGGACCCTTTGGAGAGGGTTTAGGGTTTAGGGTTTAGGGTTTAGGGTTTAGGGTTTAGGGTTTAGGGTTTAGGGTTTAGGGTTTAGGGTTTAGGGTTCAGGGTTCAGGGTTTAGACTAGGGACTAGGGTCTAGGGTTTTGGTTCAGGGTTTAGGTTTAGGGTTTAGGCTTAGGGTTGAGGATTTTCCTGTGCCTCCCAAGTCCACATGCTACGAAGCACCCGGCCAGAATTCACAACACTTTCGGTCCGAGATCAAACCCTACACCCTATACTCCCATAAGTCCTCTTCGATGTTCATTACGAATCCGGCCTTGATCCCACAGGGCGTTCCAGGGAGAAGTTGTCGTGCCAAGAAGTTCGCAGTTTTTGTTGTGGTGAAGCCCAAAAGCCCGAAAGTCACCAAAACACTCAACCCAACTCCCTCCCTCCCCCCCCCCCCCCCCCACCCCGAAAACCCGAAACCCTAAATCCGAAACCCTAAACCCTAAACCCTAAACCCTAAACCCTAAACCCTAAACCCTAAATCCGAAACCCTAAACCCGGAACCCGGAACCACCCCTGGAACGCAAAACCCCCGGAAGACCCGGGGGCCTTGAAGCCAGCCATTCTCGAGCTTGCTTGCTGGGGTACCTTGCTGGATTTAGGGTTTAGGGTTTAGGGTTTAGGGTTTAGGGCTTAGGGCTTAGGGCTTAGGGCTTAGGGCTTAGGGCTTAGGGGTTAGGGCTTAGGGTTTAGGGTTTAGGGTTTAGGGTTTAGGGTTTAGGGTTAAGGGGTTTGGGTTTTGTTTGAGGATTTAGGGTTTAATTCGGCTTGAGCTCCAGAAGTACCTACATGGGGAGTTGGGTTTAGCGGGTGCGTTTCCTGAGCGGGCAGGGGCTTTGGGATATAGGGAACCCTAACCCCTAAACCCATTGAACCCTAAACCCTCAACCCTAAACCTTAAACCCCCCCACCCCCTGTAAACCGAGGCACTTTGGAGGAGCAGGCTCGCCAGTCACGGAGCCGGAAAGCCTGGGATTTAGGGATTCAGGGGTTCAGGGGTTCAGGGGTTCAGGGGTTTAGGGTTTAGGGGTATGAGGGGTCTTAGGGGTTTAGGGTTTTTAGGGTGGAACTTGGGATTTTGGGATGTTCAAGGTTCAGGGGTGTAGAAGGCTTTTCTTCTTTGTTCGTTTTTTGTTTTTTTTTTTTTTGGGGGGGGGGGGGGGGGGGGGGGGGGGACTTAAGCGCAGTTTATGTACAACAAGAGGGTCAGATTTCCAGAGGGTTGTTTGGAGAAGAATGCCTGCAGTGGTGTTTGGCGAGGAGGCAGCTTGAGGGACTCAGCCGTGTTTCAGCTTTGTACCAACTTCTGGCTGTACTAGGGCCTATATGTCATGAGAACAGGTATTTTGCGTAGTTGGCTCATTGACATTCTCCGAAACCTAAAACCTAAACCCTAAGCCCTGGTCGCAGGTCATTTGCCTGTTCAAGCCCGGAAGGGCTTTTCGGATCAAGTCTTCATGGGAGTGTCAACCCTAAACCCTAAACCCTAAACCCTAAACCCTAAACCCTAAACCCTAAACCCTAAACCCTAAACCCTAAACCCTAAACCCTGAACCCTAAACCTCTGGTGCCCCTGGGTTCGAAATGGCATCCTTGCAGTTGCGTTTGGGCTTGGGGGGCTTAGGGTTTAGGGTTTAGGGTTTAGGGTTTAGGGTTTAGGGTTTAGGGTTTAGGGTTTAGGGTTTAGGGTTTGGGGTTCGGGAGTTTTGGGGGACATTTTTTGGAGAAGCTTGAAGACCAAAAGCTCGGGTGCTAACACCCAGACTTCGCTGATGCCCAAGTACCCCATAGAACCCAGGGTTTGGGGTTTAGGGTTTAGGGTTTAGGGTGAGGGCTTTGAGCCCAGTACGAACGCCGCAAATGCATACGCTGCGAAGTATCCAATTCAGGCCCCGCAGCCCGTGGTAAGGTCCTCAAGCGAGGACACTTTGGTCCATATGCGGCCCTAAAAAACCCTAAACCCGAAACTCGCCTGCAATCAACACTAAACCTAAACCTCCCTAACACCCTAAAACTCAAAACCCTAAACCTCTTGATAAACCCTAGAGACCCAAACCCTCAACCCCAAAAGCCCCAAAGCCTCAAGCCAAAAAATGCGGCACCAGCAGCTACGAAGATCCGTCCCCGGACAAGGCCCCTGCAGAACAGGACTCGGGACTCACTGAGCTACTTGAAGATGACCTAGCAGGGTTTCGAATCTTTTGGGGATCCGAAGTAACCCTCAAAAACCCTAAACCCTAAACCCTAAACCCTAAACCCTAAACCCTAAACCCTAAACCCTAAACCCTAAACCCTCAACCCTTAATTTGGGTCCCTTGTTGTAGAACCCTTCTATGCACGATATAGCAATAAGGGCCCATACTTCGGATCCCTATATAGGGTAAGGGTGCCACACTGCAGGTCCATGGTTCCAACCTTAGATCGTTAGGAAGGCCCTAAGCCCTAGGCCCTAAGCCCTAAACCCTAAACCCTAAACCCTAAACCCTAAACCCTAAACCCTATAAATCCTAAACCCTAGACCCTAAACCCTAAAACCAGGTGCTATAGCCCCGGGCCCGGCATGCGAAATTCCAGAGAGCCGATACTTAGATTTCGTTGAACAGTAGACACCAAAAAATGTGTTTTTTCTTTTTCTTTTTTTTTTGGGGGGGGGGGGGGGGGGGGGGGGGAAGAAGGGGGGGAGGGGGGGGAAGGGAGGCTAGGGTTTGGGCCTAGCTACCTTTCGTGAAAGCAAGCCGGCTCCATGGCTGCTGTTGAGAACGGCCTGCCCACGGTGCGGCAGGATGCGCTGCTGAGGGCCATGGCCGAAATTTCACGGCTGTGAAGCGGGGGCCTATGGCATGCCCTATAAGGCACCACATAGCCCAAAGGAGGTCTTATGTTTTCACGAAAAAGGGCTCCGAATAGCCCAAGTAGGTCTTATTTTCTCACTAAAAAGGCTCCAAATAGCCCATAGTTGTTTAGACCTTAGGCCCCCAAAAGCAAGTCTCCTTTTGTAAGGCCTGAGGATTAGGCTTCGGGTGGGCCCGGCCTAAGGCTCTGAGGGGTGTTTAAGGGTGGTAAGGCTCTGCTTGGGAGTTCGCACACAGCTGCCATCAAGACCAGGTCAGAATATGTCAGATGCCCCTTAACAGGGGGGGACGAGTTTGGGTATGTCTTGCTTGTATTTGAGACGATGGGCAAGGCCCTGACTCGCTCTGGAGAGGGCGAAGGGGAAGTTAGGAGTTGATCAAGATCTTGGGGACCTTAAACCCTGAACCCTGAACCCTGAACCCTGAACCCTGAACCCTGAACCCTGAACCCTAAACCCTAAACCCTAAACCCTAAACCCTAAACCCTGAACCCTGAACCCTGAACCCTAAACCCTAACTTAGTTCGGGTGCTTCGGGCCATGGGAGCCTAGAGCATCGGTAGCTTGGGCCAAGATCTGGGGAGGCGGAAACTGGAAAATGGCAGCTTCCAAGCACCCTGCAGCCCCCAAAAGATCGGTTTAGGGCTTAGGGCTTAGGGCTTAGGGCTTAGGGTTTAGGGTTTGGGGTTTGGGGTTTGGGGTTTTAGGGTTTAGGGTTTAGGATTTGGGGTTTAGGGTTTGGGGTTTAGGGTTTGGGGCCTTTTTTCTTGGGGGAGGGGGCGGGGGGGGCCTGAGTCCCAAGCTCTTGCCATTTCTCCCTTGTGATGCGAAAACCTCGGATTACATCCCATCCCGGACACCTAAACCCTAAACCCTAAACCCTAAACCCTAAACCCTAAACCCTAAACCCTAAACCCTAAACCCTAAACCCTAAACCCTAAACCCTAAACCCTAAACCCTAAACCCTAAACCCTAAACCCTAAACACTAACCCTAAACCCTAAACCCTAAACCCTAAACCCTAAACCCTAAACCCTAAACCCTAAACCCTAAACCCTAAACCCTAAACCCTAAACCCTAAACCCTAAACCCTAAACCCTAAACCCTAAACCCTAAACACACACACACGCACACACATTAATTTGTGCAGCATGTCCAAGCCTCAGCTGAAAAGTCCCTGAACACCTTAGACTCCGCCTAAAGATTTTGCTGCGGGCTCCTGGGGGCCCACGGAGGCCCTAAGGCCCTAAGTAAGGTCTGCAAGATCTCCCGACTCTCCCCGCCCCTAATACAGGGGCCGAAAGAAGTAGAATTGGGTTTTGGGGGGGTTATTATCGTATAGTTGTGTGAAGTAGGGTTTATATGTCTTGTACCCCCGAAAGGACACCCAATATATGATTCAGCCCCGGCGGGCCCCCCCCCCCTCCCCCCAATGGTACCCCCCCCCCCCCCTGTGGTGTGGTTGGGGGTTGGTTTTAGGGTTAGGGTTTAGGGTTTAGGGTTTAGGGTTTAGGGTTTTAGGGTTTTAGGGTTTAGGGTTTAGGGTTTAGGGTTTAGGGTTTTAGGGTTTTAGGGTTTAGGGTTTAGGGTTTAGGGTTTAGGGTTTTCCCCGCGGATGGGGTACTAAGATGATCCCCCCCCCCCCCTGTGGTGTGGTTGGGGGTTGGTTTTAGGGTTAGGGTTTAGGGTTCAGGGTTTTAGGGTTTAGGGTTTAAGGTTTAAGACTTAAGGTTTAGGGTTTAGGGTTAGGGTTTAGGTTTTAGGGTTTAGGGTTTAGGTTTAGGGGTTTAGGGTTTAGGGTTTAGGGTTTAGGGTTTAGGGTTTAGGGTTTAGGGTTTAGGGTTTAGGGACCGTAGAGTAGGCTTGGGGGGGGGGGGATACCATGGGGGGGGGGGGGCCCAGGACGCTCGACGCTGAACCATATATACACTCACCAAGTTTAAAAATGGAATCTGATATACACTCACCTATAACAGTAATATAAACCCTGATTCATGTAGGGACCATGACGGAACGCAATGGCGGCTGCCTGTTGTCCAATCTCTTTCGCCTGTGGAAGAGGACAACCGTACCGGCCTTGGCCAAAGCACCCCTACTATGCATTTGGGAGCTTACGGAAATCGGGGACCCCTAGGATGGATCCCCAAAGAGTAAGGTTCCCTTATAGTAAGGACTTAAAGGGGCCGGTGGCCTCTTTGTCTGTTACCCTTATACCTAAGATAGCCCCTAGATACCCTACTAAACACCCCCGCTACAAAACAGAAACCCTCCTCAAAGAGACCACCAACCAATATAAGTAAGGACCAATAAGGTGAACCCTAATTTCGGAACCCCCCCCCCCCAGTTGAAACCGACGAGCGTGTGACATATCATCTTCGGGAGGACAGAACATGAGGATCCACTAGATGACTCGAGCGGGGTTTAGGGTTTAGGGTTTAGGGCTTAGGGTTTAGGGTTTAGGGTTTAGGGCTTAGGGTTTAGGGCTTCGGGGGTCCGTTCCTGCCCAGGGACGACAGCGTCCACGCAAGCAAGGCTTCTGTATCCATGCCGGAGATTTGAAGTGAGATCATCTAGCACCCCACGACTTGAAACCCAAAAACGCCCAACCCAAAGCCCCAAAAGCCCCATTGGAATACGAATGCGAGCAGCGTGGTTCTGGATCAGGATACTTTTGCCGTGATGCGAAGGCACAGGAACTTCATGGATCCACTTCATGGATCCGTTCAGAAACATCTATTTGGCTGAATCACTGAATACCCTAGCCCAAGAAAGGTTAACCTGTTATTTGCAATAGGATTACACCAGAAATGTTAAAGGTGGTTGGTCTACTACGGCTACGGTCAAGCCATGGCGGCAGCAGCCACAAGCCATGGAATGGCAATGAGCACCTTCTTTGGCGCACTGCTCCATGGCTGACAGGTGCGCTGTCTATGAATACCTTTCCAGTCGCATTCGCAAAAGCAAAAGCCCCCGGCGCAGCCACACTCACTGCAATCCCAAGATGATTTGTGGAATTTAATGCGGCGCTTGGCGTTCCCACCCCACGACGGATGGCTCCCGTCATCGCACATTCTGCACCAAATGTCGTTGCCCGGCTCGTCTCTCCAGTACTCGAAGGACACGCAGCCAGCAAGTGTAGTACATTTTTGGGCACATTCCTCAACACTCGCATCGTGCAGCTTCGAGCCCAGGTATGATTTACACATCGTGTCGCCTTGTAGGGCCACGGCTTTGGAATAGCACTGGTTGCAGGAGCTCAAGTCACAGGAACCGCCAGCATGCCCCTCGCAAGTACTGGCATTTCCATTGGACCAGGACTGCGCACACTCCCATTGAGGACAGGCACAGCACATCTCTTGATGGGTCATGCTGTTTTGCTCTGCGTTGCATAGTCCACCACAAACCTCGTTGCAGGAGCCATCGCGACAGCTGCAAGTGCTGTCGGCTGACCACAGCGCGAGAAAGCAGACTGCACATGTCAAGCGCATGGCTGCAGAAATCCGCCCCCGGACTTTCAGTTAGGGGAACAGAGCCAAAGCTTGGGCTAGAGCAGCGCGGCACACACTCTCTGCATCTGGCACTAGGAACAAATGGCCAGCTGGCACAAGCTAAGGCAAAGACCTAAACCCTAAACCCTAAACCGAGCGTCTTAATCTCCTGGCAACAAGTGTCTTTGTTTTTGGGTGGGAGGGGGGGGGGTCGTGCACCATGGTTTCTGTCGGCAGACCCAAAACCCCAAACCCTATACAGACACATTTCAAACAGGTTATAGGACATGCATATGAAGCAGGGTTTATATTTCTGTTTCTGGTGGGTGTATATAAGGTTCCTTTTTAATATTGGTGAGTGTATATATTGGGTGTCCTTTTGGGGGTACAAGACATATAAACCCTACTTCATATACATACGTACATACCTCTGCTGTGATGCCTGTTGTCACCACTGCAACGCCATCAGAGCCAGCCCCGGTCAACATTGCCTTCATTCCCAAAGCATTCGGCTGCTTGTTCTTCTTAGATTCCGAGATTTTAATCAGCAAAGCTCATGATCGTGAATCATCCCATAGTTGCCAAGTCAGTAGTAGCAGGAGCAGGAGCTGGAGCTTGTGGGTCCAGAACACGTGATGGTGCTTGCCAGCCTAGTTGCCTCTGCTTTGATGTCCTCTTCCTTGAGCGGGGTTGCTTCTGGCTCTTTGAACCCAGAGCCGTCCTGGATGCGAAGTTTCCCAGTCTCGGTGGAGCCGGCGAAATTCCCGCGGTTGGTGTTGGTAAGCAGACGACAGACCTCCTAGGCTCGCGACTGTAGAAGTTCCCATTGCCCCAGTAATGCGATCGCGGCTTCGACAGCACTGGCATCAGAGGTCAGCCTCAACTCTACCTTATAACCCATTTTAGGGTGCAGTAGCTGGAGCCCCTTTCAGGGTACCTATATAAGTCTACCTATATATGCGAGAACGAAGTGAATTAAAGTGCGCATTAAGAAGAGAAAAAGCAAGCGCACTTGTATTCACTGCGTTCACTTATTCACACAGTATAACTCCTTTCTCTGCGTTCATGCGTTCATGTGTTCTCTTCATTCACACACTCACTTTATTCACTTTATAAACGGGCCAGAATGAAGATATAAACGGCCCGTAATAATAATAATATCCCCACTTCGCTCACATCTTTAATGTAATTCACGCTCACTTTGTTCCTTGTAATTACATTAAATAAGCTCTCTTCGTACTCTCGAAACATGAACTAGGAAAGGAAGACAATAAAAATACTAAAGACCCCCCTTTCGACTCTTGGTTTCGTTCACTCATGCATTTCATGCGTCACAGCGCTCATTTCTTTCGCTTGTTTCCTTATACATGCATTCATTTTCTCTTCACCTTGGAAATCTACTGTCTTAGTGTGTTGGGTAAACCCGAAAACCCCACAGCTTCAAACCCGAAAGACCCCCTCACTCGAAACACTCGCCTCAGCTCCCCAACCCCAAATCCTCAAGTCTAAGTCCTATAAGCGTCTCAACAAGCTCTAAACCCCCTTTTACGTCCTAAACTACAAGCCTGTAAATCCTAAACTAAACCCAAACCCCAAACCCAAACCCTAAACCCCAAAACTTAAACCCTAAACCCTAAACCCTAAACCCTAAACCCTAAACCCCCAAGCTCTGGGAGGAGGGCTCCGGCGTCCAGGCTTCGATGTGCCGGAAGTCTTCGCAGCGCTTCTCTGCCTCTTCAGAGGGCCGAAACCGAATTGCCTAATATAGGGTTAGGGTTTAGGGTTTAGGGTTTAGGGTTTAGGGTTTAGGGTTTAGGGTTTAGGGTTTAGGGTTTAGGGTTTAGGGTTTAGGGTTTAGGGTTTAGGGTTTAGGGTTTAGGTTTTAGGTTTTAGGGATTAGGGTTTAGGGATTAGGGTTTTGGGGGTATGTGGACCGAAGTCTGTGCGATGAAGGTGAAACAGAGTGTTTTGTACACTCAAATAGTTAGAATGGGGTTTTGGGGGTGATTCTAGTAGAATTCCAAAGGGGCCATAAGGGAATATGAGTAGTATCTATTCCGACCCCTATACAACGGAATTCTTTGCCTCTTGGGGAGTTTGGGGTTTAGGGTCTGGGGTTTGGGGTTTAGGGCTTGGGTTTGGGGTTTAGGGTTGAAGGGGGCTTGGTGTTGAGGGTTGAGGGTTTGGGGTTTAGGGCTTGGGGCTTGCTTAGGGTTTAGGGTCTAGGGTTTAGGGGGCTTGGGATCTAGTGTTTAAGGTGCTTGCATGTTGTAGTGATCGCTACAAGCGTCCTGGGAAACCCCCTGCTTTCTGAACCATTCGTGAAACACTGTCGAAGTCGTCATCCAGAGGTCGAAACCCCCTGAACCCGAACCCCCAAAACCCTAAACTCCTTAACCCCTAAACCCTCAAGAGCCCTAAACCCCAAATCCTCCAAAACCACACATCCCCCAAAACCCCCAAATCGCCTCAAAACCCCAAATCCCCCAAACCCCCGAACCCGAAACCCTAAACCCACAAACCCCAAACCCCCAAAACACCAAAACCAAAAATCCCCAAAAGCCCCACGTCTCCTTCAGCATTGTCCATCCGGCCTCGGGGGCCTTATTGAGCCGCTCGCTCCTGCAAAAGAGGGTTTTGGGTCTTTAGGAGGGTTTAGGGTTTAGGGTTTAGGGTTTAGGGTTTAGGGTTTAGGGTTTAGGGTTTCGGGTTTAGGGTCTTTAGGAGGGTTTAGGGGTTTTGGGTCTTTAGGAGGGTTTAGGGGTTTTGGGTCTGATGATAATCCCTATTAAGGACAGCTAGTATAAGGGGAAGCATCCCAATCTATACGGTTTAGGAGCCAAATCTGGCCTGATGACTTGCTTCCGCGCGCTTCGCTCCACCATGACCGCCTCACGGGATGCAAGTGCGGTTTGGGGTTTGGGGTTTGGGGTTTGGGGATTGGGGTTTAGGGTTTAGGGTTTAGGGTTTAGGGTTTAGGGCCAGAAGCATGGGCACTCAACAAGGGGTTTATTGGGGCCAAGATTCTCCTACCTTTGGAAACCATCAGAAACAAACCTTGTTGATGATTCTCTTGGGTTTTAAAAAACCGCAACCCTAGATCCTAAACCCTAAACCCTAAACCCTTCACCCTAAACCCTAAACCCTAAAACCTAAACCCTAAACCCTAAGCCCTACACAGCCAGACAGAGGAACTTAGAGTGAACAGTTGGGCTGTCGGTGCAAGGGGCCTGCGACTCTAATAGCTTCTTTTTGTGCAAAAAAGACCCTTTCTCTTGGGCTCTTTTGGTTTAGGGTTTAGGGTTTAGGGATTTAGGGTTTAGGGTTTAGGGTTTAGGGGTTTAGGGTTTAGGGTTCAGGGGCTTAATTAGGGTTTAGGGTTTGGGGGTTGAGGGTTTAGGGGTTTAGGCGGTTTAGGGTTTAGGATTTATCTTGGCCGGGCGTGGGGGTTAGGGTTGATGAAGCTGCGCGTCTATGAGCTTTTTGGTCTGGCGCTCACTTCTAACTCAGCATGGTCCATGCAGAGATCGCAGGTACGTGAGCTCAGTGGGCAGCTAACCTTAACAGCAAGTCCCTAAAATTCTGAACCCTAAACCCTAAACCCTAAACCCTAAACCCTAAACCCTAAAATTCTGAACCCTAAGCCCTAATCCCTGTACGGGCACCAAGTAATAAGGCTTCCCCAAAGAAGGCTTCCTCAAAGGCGCTTCGGCTCCGCAACCTCCCCCCCCCCGGCACACACAAGCCTCCCAAAAGGCCACTGGCATCCTGAAACGCTGAATCACCCTCAATCCCTCAAACCCGCAACAAAGACGTAACACTCTCTCTCTCTCTCTCCTCTCTCTCTCTCTCTTTCTTTTTTTTTCTCTCTCTCTCTCTCTCTCTTTAATATATATATATATATATATGTATGTATATAGATATGTATTTTCAGTTATAGTTCTTTCTATGTGTTTTTCTATGTATTTTTGCTCCAAAGAGAAACACAAATGCAACGAAACTCGCCACAGCCATGAGATTCTTAGTTGTACCCCTAAGGTTGTACCCTGGGGTTTGGGGACCCTTTGTAAAAACCCTCTAAGGGAATATGAAGGCCAGATTAGGAGTATATTCAGGGAAATGAACCCTGACCCTAAACCCGAAACCCTAAACCCGAAACCCTAAACCCTAAACCGCACCCTGCACCGCACAAAAAGGGGGGGGGGTGGGGGGACTCGCCTCGAGGTTCCTCGTGGGCGTGTGGTGCACCATGCTGCGAGGCTTCGCCTGCCGCCATGTCGCCGCATGTTTAGGAAGGGTGTCGGGATTTAGGGTTTAGGGTGTAGGGTGTAGGGTTTAGGGTTTAGGGTTTCCCCTAAACCCTAAACCCTAAACCCTAAGCCCTAAACCCTAAACGAAGCCCTAAACTCCGAACCCATGATGTGCGAAGTCTCATCGGCCACTGCCTCCCTTGAAGCTTTCGCTGGCTGAGCTTTTCTGAGGGGTAAGAACAAAACAATTATGTCTCTGTTACCCTAAACCCTAAACCCCAAACCCGGGAGTTCTGCACTTCTGCGCCTTTGCAGCACTCTTCACCTTCTCCCACCGGCTGTCCTGGTGCTCTGATCATGATTACTCGGTGTCTGAAAACCCAAAACCCAAAACCCAAAACCCAAAACCCAAAACCCAAAACCCAAAACCCAAAACCAAAAACCCAAAACCCAAAAACCCAAAACCCAAAACCCTAACCCCAAACCCTAACCCCAAACCCCAAACCCCAAACCCCAAACCCCAAACCCCAAACCCCAAACCCTAAACCCTAAACCCTAAACCCTAGACCCTGAACCTGGAGACCTTGGGGCCGAGAGCAGCCCACCGATGACACATCTAAGCGCCAGGGCAACACCTGCTCAACCCTAAACCCTCCTAAGCCCGATGCGCAAACCCAAACACTACAGAACCTGAAGCCTTAAAACCTAAACCCTAAACCCTAAACCCTAAACCCTAAACCCTAAACCCTA